TATATATATATATATTTTTTATGTGTACACACACACACACACACACACACACACACATATATATAAGTAGCCTTGAAAAGATATAATATTGTTATATATGATCTAGGAAGAGGAGCATAGGTGCACGTAAACCCATACCCCTCCCCTTAGATACGCCCCCGGAAGTTACTCCTCAAAAGTCTTTCTACATATGTTAAGGGTAAGGATAAGTGTGAGATATCTTGTTTTAGAAAGCCTCGAATTTTCCTTTAGAGAAGAATGGATATAGGCGACCTCAACTATATGACATTGAGGGTAGTTGATTTAGTGATTGGACTGATTAATACCAAAACACGCCCCCAGGGCTTTTGGTCTAGTAGTAAGAGCGTGATGCTTAGTTTAGACACATGCCATGGGTTTGAATGCTTCCGGATACAGAAGTTTGGTATTTAAGTGGAGAAGAGTAGAGGGAGTGCCTGACCCATTATCCGCCGAGTTTCGAACCGTGTGATACTTGAGGATTTCTCAGTTATCAAAACATGTGTGTACAGGTTCATATCCATAGATTGAGGAGGGTTTTTAAGTCTTTGAAGTTTGAACACAGCGAGCAGGGGCGGATCTACATATTAAATTTGGGTGCTCGAGCACCCATTAACCTCAACGCAAAGTATGTATAGAAAATTTGAGGAAATGAATATAAAAGACTGCAAAAGCAATGAAGCAAAAAGTTTGATGGGTTCTTTGGTTGTGGAAGAGAGTCGGAGGTTTAAGAAAGTTTGAAGGTCGAGGGTTCGATTCTGTCTCCGAAGAGGCCTTTTAGAAACAGGCCAATTATTTCTGTTTTTTGTTTCTTATATTATCAAGCTACTTTCTCCTTTTCTTTCTTTCCAGTTTTCACCAACCACCTTTTTTTACCCAATACTACTTAAATTTCTTTTTGCTGACTTTGTTTTATCTTTTCTTATTTTACAAAATCTAATTCACTATAAAGAAAGAAAAAGAAAAAGGACTCCAAAGTTCAACCCTCCCGAAGATGAGCAATTCCTCCCGAAGGGACAAACCCATAAATCTTTTTTCTCGTCAGTTGTGTTATCCATCACTGTTTTACGACGTCCTTAATATTAATACTATGTGTTCTCTTGTTATTTTTCATCATCATGTTCAAATAGTTATATTTTTATACTATGTGATTGGTAATAACTTTATGCCAAAAAAGGTTCAGCACCCACGAATTTAAATTCCTGGATCCGCCACTGACAACGAGGGTAACATTTTAGGAAATTTGCTTTTTCTTTTAATCAGGATTTATGCAAAGCTACAAGTTCAGATATTTGATTAACTTTTAGGAGCCATAATTCATGTATTAAAGGAATCAATTGCCACTTCTTTTTTCCAACTTTTCCTTTTCTGCTTGAATTTAAGAATTTATTCCAGTTGCTATTCTTTAGTTTCTTTTCAGTCCGCTGTTAGCTTCTGCAGAATGACTCATGCTTCCTGCTGCATAAGAACTTCAGTTAGCATTAGAACTTGCCTCTTCTTGCATAAACATGAACACAATTTGATCTAAATGCCGGCACTAAATTGATTAAAACATCTTTGGAATTGCTATCGGTTGGCGCAATACCTATTTTTTTGTTAAACTCAGTCACTTTGACATGGATTTAACAACGAAAGACTTTCCTTGATTCTACTAAACCAAGTCCTTGAACACCAGCAATTATAAATTTTTACCTGTTATTTCATCTCTTCCTTAGCTACATCTCAACCTTTGTATTTGGGTATTCCTATCATCCAGAAACTCTGTAAATGATCTTGTAAATCTCAAAACTCCCTCGTTCAACTAAATCTTTGAGTTTGCAAATAGATCACAAAAATATGACAGAATATTTAAAATCAGAAAACTGCAATCTAGCAAAAATGGCATTTTCCTATTTTCAGTGGCCATTATGCTTGCAATAGGTAACTCTGATAAAGATAGCCTGTTGCATTTAATTCAAACATGAGATTACGAAAAGCACAAAGGCTACAAACATTATTGACACTTTGAATTATCCTTCAGGTACACAACCTTCAAAAGCAAAAACCTGTTTGTTTCTGATGGTTAAACTAATAATCTTACTAGAATCAAGGAAAAAGAACCTAAGCTGGAACATGTGATCATCCTAGAGAAAAAGGATCGTCAAACATAATCATGAAGTAGCTTTCATACCATCTTGTTTTATAAGAGTGATGAGATGAAAAGAAAATTTAATGCACACACACCTGTTTGACAACCTCCTTTCTCACATGCTTATGATACTCTGGATTATGATACAACTGATCTGCAAGGGCTCGAAACTGTCCAATAAGTCAAGGAAATAGTCATAAAAAGCACACGTCTATCAAGTGTAGCAATGGCTTGGTAGACTAGTTAAAGGAGACTAACCTGGCAATTTCCATCGCCTTGAATTTGAAATTCAGCAAGCCCATATGCTGCCAACCTGAATGATAGATAACATTAATTCACAAGAAGCGCATTTCTTGCTGATAATACCCAAAAAAGTACAGAGATCCCTAAAAGTAACATGTCCGGCCTCTTTAAATAGCTTTCTTACTGTGGAGTTTCAAGCATGACTAAAGTTATAACTTTTGACTTTTCCCATAAATTATGATTTCAAGTATGGATCACAAATAAGCAGTTTTAACTATCCCCTGGAGAAAGATACAGTGTAGAGCGACACCCCAAAAAAAAATTTTTAAGCAGAGGGCTATATCTATTCTCAGGTTGCATCGTTTGAGCATACAGCAGTTTAAATTCTATGAAACCAAATAAGATGGAAAATCCAGCCCTTCGATTAGAACCCCTGCGGTCATATATCTGGCTTGTCCATTTCAGTTTGTGGTTTCAAGATCAATATTGTTCTTATACTATGAAGAGAAAGAAAAGAAAAAAGAATGGCTAGGCAATTAAATTTCTAGCAAATTTGATGTAATGCCATAACCTAGCATATACAGACCGAAAAAAAATAATAATGGGATAGGGACTACGAATTTGCTGAATGTCAAGCTTATGACACAATAAGTAAAGTGATACACAACCTGCCAGAGAGCCTCTCATGGTCAAGTGTTGCATGATTAGGATCAGGTATCTGCCCAATAACCCTCGGAGTATGCTGCAAAGACAGTAAAATTATAAGTGGAATTGATGGTAAGTAGCATATGCTTACAAAAAAACAAGTACAGCACACACTATATCACTACTCACATCAATGCAACTCTGTACAAAAACTCATTAACTAAGTTGCTCGTACTCGAGTGCGGGTGTCCGATACGGGTGCGGATCTAGAGGTCAGACCCTTCACGATCTAAATTTTAAGTTCGGGGGTACGGATCCAGGTGCGGGGAATGGCTAAAAATAATTCCAATATTAAAAAATAGAGTTATAAAAATGTCTAACTTATGAGACATTACGTGGAAAACTTACAAGGTATTCCGAGAAGAAGAAAATATTGAACAAGAGAAGAATCCGAGAAGGAGATAAAAGGAAAAGGACTGACATAGAAATTTCAATATACAAGGTATTCCATTTTCTTCAATATCATCCTAACTTTTGTTTTGTTTTCAAAAATTATAGTATTTGTCCCGAATTTCTCCGTCGATTTTGGTCAAAGTAACAAAAATTGGTTGACCAGATCCGGTACGGATCCCACACCTACACCCACGTCGTGTCGACCGGGTGCGGCACTGAAAGTGAACAGTCCGAGCAACTAAGCTCATTAACATATTTTTTATAATTGCATACGAACAAAATGTCATAAGACCACTATATTTCTATGAATGATAGAAGAAACTATGACTCCGCCTGTGTGAGCTTGCTCACATTGCTAGTCCCAAGCTGGAATAAAGGAGCAGGGTTGCGGTAGGCTGGCTTAAACTAGACAATTTCATGATAAGTTCTCACATTAGCCAACTCCAACTTGTTTGGGACTGAGGCATAGTTGTTTTGATGTATAGAAGAAACTCTATATTTACAAAATAAGCTGATTCTTGATAACGTACAACATAACAATATTGGAACTATGTCAAAACAGAAAAACAAAAGAAGACTTCTTCATACATATAGAAAATTCTCTTATTATTATAATTCTTGCTACAAAGAATAATAATTTCGAGATAACATAAAAAATTTGTCTAGTACAAGCAGCAAATATCAAATGTACCGGGATTGAGTCCAAATGAGAGAGTCGCTTGCCAAGCTTGCCCCCATACCTCAAAGCATTTTGTTCTTCTTCTTCAGCCAATATTTTCGCAATGGCATGATCATCCTCAGTACCTTGTGAACTGCTATTCAAACTAGACGCCGTCGAACTCGAGCTTCCTCTTGAGTTTCCATATTCAGTCATATTACAATCAATAACTTCTCAAAATAGACCAATACAACAAAAATTCCTAGCAAGCAACAATCCCCATATCAAATTAGGATACGATCAGGTCACATAAAAGATATGGAGTAACTTTATTTAATAGCATTGATTGGTAAATTAGAATAAATGCTAAGTAGCATATAACTTAAATCATCCAAATAAAATTAGGATTGATACATAAGCTCCGAAAAAAAAAAAAAAAAACCCCAACAACAGAAAATGGAAAAACTGTAATCTTTGCGAGGATCTATCAGATACTTGTCCGTATGAAAGACCCACAATTGGAATACGAAGTAATGTATCTAATTTTGGATGTGAATTTTGATCTCGATTCCTTTAGCCCTTCTTTCATAGTAAAGAAAAAATAAATCAATTCATGAGCTAGATAGAGCAAAATTCGAAGCACCTTTTGGCCTAGTGACGAGGAAGAGAAACAAATGCGATTTTGATAATTCAAGAAAAAAGGAAGTAATAATGAGATTTTGATAATTCAAGAAAAAGAAAGCATAAGGGAGAGGGGTGGGTGCCGAAGTAGAGGAAAGATGGCAAAGGAAAGCGAAGAGTTGGTTGTGAGTCTTGTGAACGTGGGAACACTTGGATTAGACGTCATTCCATCACCTCGACAAGCAAAGAGATAAATGTTGGTCAACAAAACACGAGATAGAAACATCTTACTTGGGGTATTACCTCGTCCTAAACTTGTCCTATCATTTTCACGGTAACAAGCTTCCTATACACTATTTAAATTTTTATTATTTTCTTTTCAAATTTTAATTTAATTATATAGCCATATACAATTTATTAATTATATATATTTTAGGAATTTAATGAGAATCAATTAACTCCTAAAATCTCTCTAACGTACATATCTCACTCCCACCCACGTTTCTCTTTCCATACCCCCACGATTATGTACTTTCTCCCTCCATTAACGCTCCCTTCCCTTTTTCTTCAAAAATCTTTTATAATCTCTCTCAATCTTTCTTAATTCTCTCTCTAAATCCTACGAAAATAGTAGCAGCTTAAATTTTTCCTTCCCTTACAACGAAGAAGAAAGAAGTTCCGAAGAATAGCCCAGAAAAAGCTAATGTTAGCGATATTCCTACTTTTGATTTGGGTGTTTTATCACATTATTCACCCAAAAAAATAGTAAAATCGGCTCATGCAAAAGCAGAGACGAAATCCAAGCTTTTCCCTCGTGAAGTTAGGTCAGAAGCTCGAACAAAACTCAAGCATGACAGGATGATGGTGAAGCTACGACATCTGCTAAATCAGTAAATCGGAAGGGCAAAGAAATTGCTCGTGATGATGATTTCGTCGAAGAAGAAGTCATCCTGAAACCTGCAAAAAAAAATCAAAGTTTCTCCTACTATCAAACCTTCAAAAAAGAAGAAGGTTCAAAAATCACCTAAAACTATACCCCAAAAGTCATTGGAGAAGGTAAAATTTTGGTAGTTACAATTTTGATTTTTTTTTTTAAAGTTACAAAATGTGTTCTCAGTTTCATGACTATACATATTTTTTGTTTTTTTGTATTTGTAGAAATTTTGTCTACATTGTGTATATTTATTGTTGGTTATCAACTTTTCTACATTTTTCTCGAAATTGTAGATTTCTTATATATTATTCGAAAATATTTTGTTAGGGAATGTACTACATGATTTAGTTGGTTATTATTTGCTCTATTTTGTAGATGTTAATTTCATTTTGTTACTTTCTAATTTCTTGCTCTAAACATAATTTGTAGATTCAATGTAGTCAGTTGTTATATATGTTTACTAATTTTGTAACTTACTTGTATGTAAAGTATTTATGTCTTTCTGATTGTAGCTAAATTGTAGTAGAATTGTATTTATTTTATTTTTTTGTCTTCATACAAGTTTTATTAACTTACTATTTTTTTTGGTGTAGAATCGAACATTTATAGCCTATTATTCGAAATCATGTTGTTAGGGGATGTACTACCTTATTTAGTTAGTTTTATTGGTTATTAGTTGATCTATTTGTAGATGTTAGCTCCATTTTCTGTAAATAAATTGTATATGTTATGTCTTATTGTTACTTTCTAATTTCTTGCTCTAAACATAATTTGTAGCTTCAATGTAGTCAGTTGTTATATATGTTTACTAATTTTATAACTTACTTGTATTCAAGGTATTTATGTCTTTCTGATTGTAGCTATTTTGTAGTAGAATTGTATTTATTTTATTTTTTGGTCTTCAAACAATTTTTTTTTTAACTTACTGTTTCATTTGGTGCAGAATCGAACATGTTTTGCACCACATGATATTGATTATGGCATCACTAGGTTTCAAACATTATCCAACCCTGCTGTTCCTGGCCAAATTAATGTGTTATTGTCTGAAAATGGGTTAAAGTTGTTTAAGAAGACATGTTTTGGGCATTTTCTTTCCCTGCCCAAAATATGTATCCAAAATCATGCAATTCACCTTCTCATGAAGTATGAATTGAACGCATTCGGATTTGATTTTTTTTACAGTAGAGATAAAGGGTGAGAGGCTGAACTTTGGGTTGAGGGAGTTTGCCTTACCACTGGCCTTAGATGTTTCACAGAAGTAACGGACTTTGGTTACACAACTACGTATGACAGTAAAATAATGAGGAGCTATTTTTCGAACAAGGAAAAAGATGAGAAGTCATACTTGAAATAAATTGTAACCAGCCGTAGTTGGGTGACTGATAAGGATGTAGTCAAGCTGTGCATTCTCTATCTGATAGAATTCTTCCTATGTCCTTCAGAGAAAGATAATAGTTTGATAGACCATTTTAGGTTCTACTTGGTGGACTCGGGGCAGTATGCGAATTTCGCATGGGGTATCGAAGCTTATACACAATTGCTTCAGTCCGTTAGGCACAAGCTTAACCATGCTGTGCATTTTTATCTCATTCGAGGTTTTGCACTCGCTATGCAAATATGGTTGTATGAGTGTTTCTCTACAGTCAACACTGATATAGCTACAAGGGTTGGTAATTCGATCCCCCGCATACTTAACTGGACAACTAGTAAGGACAAGATATAGATATCTGCATTGGAAAATAGAATGATCAAACCATCATAGATCAAGGTAAATATTTTTCACTTTTGGATAGACAATTTAATACAAATTATCTACACATTTTATACATATTATGACTAGGTCCCTCACATTTTTTCTCTCTCAGTTCACCAACATGCTTGAAGCCCCAGAAGAGCTTTCAAGAATGAATTTGCCAGACAAAGTTGAATACACCCTTGAAGAGGCTGAAACAAAGGCCGAGCATCCGACAGATGCTCCATCTCCATCTCCATCTAGACATAAGCAGGCAATGGAAATATATGACAAGAAAGATATCATAAAACAATTAAAAAAATTAAGAAAAGATGTTGATAAGGTAACCTATTAAGATAATCCTAACTGATTTCTTTAATTTATGTTATGCAAATTATTTTTTAAACTCTTTCTATTTTAATACATAGGTCGGTANATATATTATAACAGATTTTTTATTCTTTAGGTTTTTGAAGAACTAGGTAACATTCGATTGCTACTCAATGATCCATCAAGTCCGTGTTACATGCAATTGATGCTAAGGTTTCATTCAAATATATTCATTTTGGACAACAATTTTTATCATGTTTATGTTTATAATAGTATTCTTAAAGTACATAGCCTAACAAATTCCCAATGCAGTTTACTGGTAGTTCTACGAAAAATGATGAGTATTACAAAGAAAAGAACAAACAACAGAATCCGGGCAGTAGTACTAAACCAATATTGGCCAGCAGCAGTAAAATAAGTTTTTTTAACAATTATAACACAATTTGATGACAACTAATCTATATTATATTTATATTATATCTACAATATATCTACATATAGCCTAAATTACCAACAACTACAAATAAATAATCTACATTATATTTTCAATTATTCTCTTAGATATAGGGTACATGTCTGATATTCAAAATGAGGAGAATGTTCCTGTAGGTGTTGACTTATCTTCCCAATTTCAAGGGACATTGGAAGAAGAAACTGCAGGTATGATTTAGTACATTTTATCTCCATATTGCACAATACATATTACATCAGAGCTATAGGACAGTATTTAAACAAATTAACTGCAATTAAACTACAATTTATCTACAGTGTAGTTTCTGTTTATTACAAATGATATACAATTTTATTAAATTGAACACATTTATTGTAACAGAGAAAGAAACAATGCATGTGGACTATCCAAAACAAATTAACTATAATTAAACTAAAATTTATCTACAGTGTAGTTTATGTTTATTATAAATGATCTACAATTTTATTAAGTTGTACACATTTGTTGTAATAGAGAAGGAAACAATGCATGTGGACTCTCCAAAATAGGATGCAAAACATGGCATAGAAAGAGAGCATTTAAATGAGGAGAAAGAGATTGTGCCTTTGCAATCTCCCATTCAACAAGCAAATGATATACAAAAAGGAGACGACTGCAATGAAGATTTTACTGGTATTATATGTTACAATATAATTGTAGGAAAAAAACAACAGCTTTCATATAAGTTTCATCTTCCCAAAAGAACTAATGCAACCAACATACAATGTTGTTCTTTTGTTTTAAATATTGTAAGTGAACCAGCCGACTACATCAATATAGGTGATTCAGACAATGACTCCAGATATGGAAAAGGGGAAATAATACTTGATGATTTTGAGCTTCCAGAGAACTTCTCACAGATTGTTAAGTTCGGAGAGGTAAATGAATATGAAACAACCCCTGTGCATCAGGGAAGAACAAGGGTTCCTGGAAAGTATGCCGGATCCCCTTTTCTCCCTTATTTCAGTTCTGGGGAAGTACTTCTGTTGGACCTCCTACAATTTTCAATATCAAGCATCCATTTACTGGGTTATTGGAGACGATGTTGATCCTGACTTGTTAGAAGAATTCAATAAGTGGTTATATTTAGATACCGACACGGTTTCAAAGAGGTTAGATTATACAATTTTTTCATATTATAGAGTGCATACAATTTGTGGATTTCAAACTGAAACTAAATAATAATTGTACTTGCTATGTCTCTAAATAAGAGGAAGGCGCCTTATACTGTAAAAGATAACCAGCTTAACCCGTGGTTTGATATTGGAGTGGAGAAAGTTGATAAAAAGGACTGGTTTTATACTTTGGCACATCCCGGACAAGTACTCAACAACACAGTACACACATACCCTGACAGAATTTAATGATTAACTGTAGTATTCTGTTATTTTATAAATACGTAGATTTTTTTTTGAAAATTGTATGAAATATTGAGAAATAATCAAATATATATTTTTTGCAGCACATTGATGTTATTTTATACTATTTGAGGAAGAGAGGAAAGTATGGTCATGCAAATAAAACACGGTTTACAGCCACTGACTGTATGTTCAAGACTAGAATTGAACAAATTTATGAGATGTACATTAATGCTCCTGCCGATAAGAAGCTTGTTGTTGTCAAACCCAGGACGTCGTGGCAGAATACATATTGGGATATCGATTACTTGCAAATGTTGTATGGGACAAAGTTGATTTTGTGATTATGCCAATAAATATAGTGGAGAAATTTCATTGGTTGTTGGCTGTGTTTGACATCACCAATAGGGTTCT